ATCCAGCGCCTCCCTCCGAGGGCTGCTGGGGAGATAAAGTGAGTTCATCATATAAAGCTTGCAGGACACCTGGCCCAGAACAGGGGCCATGGCTGTGTTTTTATTATTATGGCCCTCACTGCAATTTGAACTTCCAGGCAACTGACTACATCAGAACGGCTCCCAGGCAGGGCCAGGCATGAGGGGTAGCCATAGCAGGAGCTCACGCAGAGGAATGATTCAGCCCCCGGTGCCTTCCTGGGCCCCTGCCGTGTGCCTGGCACTGCCAACACGTGGCTTCTCTAAATCATCAACAGTAACAGCTGAATGTAAAAAACAAACAACTCTGCTTTCCTTTCAGAAGCCAGTCTGGAGAAATGGAGCACAGGTGTTTGTCCCAGAAATGCCACTTCTGGGCATGAGGCCCAAGGAAAGAATCTGAGATGTGGAAGAACCACACCCACACTCCCTGCCCAGAGGTGCTGGTGAGACTACCTGAGTCCCAGCAACCAGGGAGGGAGAATCAGTGGTGTCCAGCAGCCAGGGAATAAATAGGGCTGCAGGGACCTGGCACCAGGGGCCTGGGGAAAAGTGTGGTCTGGGCTTTTGCCCCTGTAGTTCCTCCATGGGGAGCCCCCATGCCAGGTTCTGTGGAGAGAGGAGTGAACTAGGTTCTGGGCATGCGAACTGGGGGACCAGAGGTAGGCTCAAAGGAGTGCAGTGCTGAATTTGAGGGCCAGCTCCCTCAGGGTCATTATTCTGTCTCTCGTCAGTGGAATTGGGGAATTTGAGGACTGAATGGAGGGGGAGGCTTGTCCGAGATCACACCGCAAATCGCAAATTGGCAATGGCTAGATTGGGAGGCACCCGTCCTCAGGGGTGGGTCGGGAGGCCACAGCTGAATGAACTCACCCGGGCTCCTGTTCCCTAGGTCCATCTGAGCAACAGACTTTTATCCTGCTGTCTCTTCTTGAATCAGCAATTCTTATCCCCACTGTGAAGATGAGGAAACCGGGGCTCTGAGACTGGCCATCAGGGCTGTGCTGTCCTGGGGGAGTTCCCAGCATGCATGAGGATCTTGGGGCCCCCTGGTCCTCCCTGGGTGCTCAGCATGTGGCTGCACAGTGAGGGTGGGGCAAGCTCCCCTCAGGGGAGGTGAGTGGGGCTCAGGGTCCCGTGGGCCCATGCATGCCCCAGCTAAACTGCATCCTTCTATGCGGCACAGCGGCTGGCTTTCAGACTGTGGATGCGGTGTCAGACAAGCTGGGACCCTCTGCTCACACCAGCGGTCTCCATTCCCATGCGGCCCAAGTCCTGCTGGTCTGCAGGATCCTTTCGCACCCTCTCCAGCCCTCCTGCCCCACCCTGAACGACTGCCCCAGCCTCCTCTGTCTCCTGGCCTGTGCGCTTGCCCTTTAGGCTGTTCTCCACGCAGCAACTAGAACTTCCTTGTGACAGCCTGACCCTGATGGCCCTGTGCCTGAAGCCCTCTAGGGGCTCCCTGCCCCCTAAAGAGACTCCTCCCTGGCCCCCCATGTCCTGCGGAAGGGCACTGCAGCTTCTCCTCTGCCTGTAGCCTTGAGGCAGAGGAAGAGGTGAGGGCGTGGAGGAAGGGAGGTGTGTGGAGACCCCACACATGCCCAGAAGCTACACAGCAGACAGTGGCCCTTGGAGGTGTGCCACCGGATAGCCCTGGGTAGGGGGCTGGCTGCCTGGGCAACAGGGGTTCTAGCAAGGGCCGGAGTCTGCATCATGGTCACCTGTCGGGGCTCATCTGACCCAGCCACAGACAATGGGGCTGAGGCCTCTAAGAGTCGCTAATGATAGTCTTTAATGGCCGTTCCTGGAAAGGGATGACTTCACCCAGGACACACCTTGATGAGAGGAGGCTACAGTCAGAGGCAGGCGGCGCCTCCATTGCTGTGAGACCTGCATGGGCTTGTCTAGTCAGAGGATGGTGATGCCGTGTGTGTGTGTGTGTGTGTGCGCGCGCGCGCACGTGTGTGTGTGTGCGTGTGTGTGTGTGTGCGCGTGTGTGTGTGTGTGCGTGTGTGTGTGTGTGTGTGTGTGTGTGTGAAGCCTCAGGGCAGCAGGGGGGTGCCCAGCTTCTACCTTGCCTCTCTCTATGAGGCAAACCTCTTTGCAAACCTCACCTTCCCCATCCACGCCGGGCTCGGGAGCAGAGTGATTCTGAGCCTTCCCAGAGTGCTCAGGTCTGCTGGGTCTCAGGAGTCAGGTGCAAGCACTGTGTCCTGGCGGGGCCCAGAACAAGCAGGGGCAAAGACATCAAGGACCGGGGCACCCAGAGGTCAGCATGCTAATGTGCTCCCTCCAGAGAAAGCTGGCTCCCACATCAGGTCCTTTGGCTTCTGCCAAGGGTCTGGGGATAGGTGTTGGTGTCCCAGACACATCCATGCTGACACAGAGGGAGGTACAGTGCAGTCATGGTGTTGGCCCAGGTGCGCAGCACAGGGGCAGCGGCGGGGAGGGTCAGGCTCCAGCGCAGGCTTGCCGCCCACCACTACCCTGCTCCATTCACGAGGCGTGACTGCCCTCTGGGGAGGGGCCCTGTGGGGGTGGCAGGCAGAGCAGGGCCCTCTCCGGCTCCCAGGCTCAGAGCAGGACCACCCTAGGGAAAGGTTCATCTCTCCTGTGGTCTCCTCGTCAGAACCCCTTCAAGGTGGCCGCTCCACAGCGCTCCAAGTGCTGCCTTGGACCAGCCTGAGTCAGTCCTCACATTGCACTTGTTTCATTATCAGAGGACAAGTTGAGGGCCCCATTATCCTGCCACCCCGCGTGACATCACAGAGCTTCCCTCGGGCATGTTCCCTCCCTGGGACTGCCCGGCCGGCACAGGAAATGGCTGCTGGGTGAATGTGCAAGTGAGTAAGTGTCCCGGATCCTCCTCCCATGAGAACACTAAGCGGCTAAGAAGTGGATGAGGTCCCTGGGGCCCGGGCTAAGACAGAGGCAGAAACAGGGACCAAGGAGGCAAAGTGGCTCAGGAGAGCAATAGGACTAGGGACAGAGATGAAGCAGGCGCACCCCCACAGAGCCAAGTGTCCAGGAGCACAGGGCAGCGGCACCGAGGGCCTCAGCCACAGATGGCCTGGAGGAAGCAGGGCCTGCCGGGGAGAGCACGGCAGAACCAGGGTGGGGTAAGAGGCGCTCAGGACCAGGAGCCATGAGACGGGAGCCTGAAACTCGGGGTGGGGAACCTCAGTCCTGTAAGTGTGGCCCAGCCCAAGGTCACAGAGCAAGGACCCAGGGCCCAGCCACTCAGGCATGACCTGGCCCTCCTTCCCCACGCAGGGAACCTTAGCCAGGCCCAGTGCTAAGGTAGGAGTTGCTACAGGTAATGAGGACACGTGGTCAGAGAGACCACTGGCCCCAGAGTGCACAGGGCTAAGTGACGGGGCTGGCCCTCTTCAGGCACTCCCAGTCCTTGGTCTGAAGAGCCCGCTCAGGAGGCGGCTGCCACTCCCACCCCCACCGGGTCCTGTGCTTGGGCACGCTGGCACTGCCAGGCACTTACTCGGCTTGTCAAGGGCCCAGCCCCCAGCTCAGCACCCTCGGGCTTCCCCAGGCCTGGGCGAGGACAGCAAGAGGGAACAAAGGCCCAGTCTCTGCCTGCTCAGGCCCCCACCCCCTTGCCTGCCCCTGGCACAGAAGGAACAGGGCCCGGAGGGAGCCGGGGAGCAACAGCAGCACCACCCCCTTGTCCCCTCCCACCCACACAGGCCTGCCGGATGAGTGGCAGGATTCTTCCACGCTCCAGATGGGAGTATTTCAGGGGAGAGCTGAGGGACTGGAGTCACACAGCTGGGATTTGCACCCAGGTCCCACAGCGGGCAGAACCTGCCCTCCACCCCTTGCCACAGGCAGCGAGTGATGGTTGTGACTGCGTTCTGGTGCAGAGAAACTGAAGAGCAGAGATGAGGGAGGGAAGAGAAGGACAGCCTGGACACCCCAACAGGGCAAGTCCCAGGCTCAGCTGCCCTCACCCTCCCCGTCCTGCCCACCCACATTCCACCTGGGTTCAGCTCAGTGCTCATCAGTCTGCTGAAGGGATAGAGCTGGGGAATGGCAGAAATGGGGAAACTGAGTCAGCTTCCAGGCTTATGTCCTTGACTGGGGCTCACCTGATCCAGCCAGAGGAAAGGGAGACCTAAGCCACTCTGGAGGCTTCATTTCCTAATCTGTCACACAGGGCTTGTTGCCCACTGGGGGCCTGACTTCCCCAGGCTGTGGTCACCATCCTTCTCCAGGTCTCCTTCCTGCTCCAGCCCAGGGCCTTGCTTAGACCCCACCGCCAGGGGAGCCTGGATGGAGGCCGATGCTCACCGTTCCCTGTGCAAGCCTGAGCACGGCTGTTTCCTCCCTCTGAGCTGAGGCCAACCATGTGCTCGTCATGCCACAAAGCTGAAAAGCACTTAGGAACTGGGTGCAATCAACCCAACTTCAGAGATGGATACTGAGGCTGGGGGGCTAAGGGACCTGTCCAAGGCCACCCAGCCCTTAAGAAGCAAAGGGCTGACCTGCTCACTGCCCACGATTCAGTCCCACTGACATCCCAGGACCTGCAGGGGCAGGGTTAAATGCAGATTCCCCTCTCTTGCCCACGCAGCAGCAACAGAAAGGGTCAGGGTCTTGGGGGCTGCAATCTGGGCAATGCACGAGCAGACAGCCTTGGGCAATGAAGGGCGAGTCTGGGCTCAGTTGTGTGAACTTGGTCCATAAAACCTCTCCAAGCCTTGATTTCAGTAGAAGCCCAAGAGAAAGCCCTGATGCCTCTGTCTGCCAGTGCCTAAGGGCTGGGAAATGCCACCTGCCCCAGCTTCAGCCAGAAACCTTGGCTGCTCCTTCCCATCTGTGGGGCACCTTGATTGGTCTAACCAAGTGCCTAGCAGACCCCAGGGAGGACCAGGCCAATGCCTCGCACAGAGCAGGCACTAGGATGCCGGTCGACAGCACTCCTTCCTCTCCTTCCCAGGCCCAAAACCCTTACTGGACACGACTCATTTTAAAGAAAAAATAATATTTATTTGCAATATAAACAAAGTCCCGTTGCTGGTTCGGGATATATATATGTATGTGTGTGTATATATATATATATGTAGGGTCACAAATCTTCCTTCATAAGATCATAAAGCAAAACTGGCCACCTTCTGGCACACCCTCATTTACACAAACCTGGTGCATCTTTCTGGGTTTTCTTTTTAAAAATAAAAGAGAGAAAAAGAACCATGTACAGCATGGAAGCTTGTTGTCAATTTCTCAACTGTGGCAAGATTTTAATCTACTGCCCTAAAGAATCCCTGAAAACCACCCCTGTGAGGTAAGAAGCAGTGGGGCAGAGTTTCCGCGGCCTCACTCACATGCTGAGTGCTGCTCTGTCAGGGACCCTGGCCCGATCGCTCTCCCTGCCCCAGGCCCCCATGCAGTCCTGACACCTGGTAGAACTGAGGCTGGAGAAGGAACAAAACTGGAGGAAGATAACGGAATCCGTGGCTTTGTTCTGTGGAGGCGGGGGAGGTGGACAGAGCCTCACCCCTCTTCTGCTGGTCCATCCTTGCCCCACTTGCCCCTGCCTGAGGGTTGAAATGGGTGCAAGTCTCCTGGCAGTAGAAGGCATGGGCAAGATGAGGGCGGGGCAAGCTTCCACGAGGACAAAGGGGCTGGGAGTGGCAGCCAGACCAAAGCGACAGCTAGGGAGAGGGAAGAACCTGGAGGGAGGGCTGGGCCCCACCACCTGAGCTCTCCCCAGCCACTGGGCCTCCACTCCCAGTTACAAGAGAGGAGGGAGGGGGGGAGAAAGAAAAAGAGAGAGAGAGAGAAAGAGAGAGAGAGAGAGACAGCGCCAGACAGACAGACAGGAGTAGTAGCTAAGTATACAGAAGGGCTCAGAGCCCAGGCCCTCTTAGAGGCTGAGCCCAGAGGGCAATGCTACTGCCTGGCAGCCCCCTGCGGCCCACCTCCAGTGGGACAGTGGCATAGCCCCAGGTTCCCCACCTTCTGCCTCAGGGAGGTCTGCAGGGACCACCAGAGGGATGGATGAGAGGGCAGAAAATGCAAAGACCACCATCCAGCCCACCAATCAGAACTTGCAGCAGTCATCACAGGCAAATGCAGGGCCAAGTCAGACTGGGCCAAGGGTGGGAGGTGGCACGACTGGGGGTCCCGATACCTGAAGAGCAGTAAGCCACCCCTTCAAGAAGGGCCCGCTGAGGAAACAGAGGCTTCACACATGTGCAAAACGCATTTGGTCAAGGTCAACGTGGGGGTCTGTCTTTTCCATTAAAAAACAAACACGATACTTGCTTTTTGAAACTGAACGAAAAACAAAACTGAGAACACTTCTCTCTCTCGCAGGATCAAGAAGGGGATGAAATACTGGGTTATACAATCCACTGTTGCATGTAGCCTGAAAATAACACTTTTTTGTTAAAAAAAAAAGAAAAGAAAAATCAAGAAGAGCTCAAACACTCTTTGTGCTCCAGGGAGCTTGGATTTACCTGCCAAAAGTAAAAAGTAAACTCAGGTCCGTGGATGTGTCTTTAAAAAACAGCCAAACTGGCTGGGCCATCAGCAGAAAGGAGCGTCCTGGGACAACATGAGGCCCTGGTGGACGCCCAAAGCCACGTGTCTGAGAGCCGAGGCCTCTCCAGCAAGCCCTGCAGAGGGAGATCTTGCCTGCGGACCCCGCCCCCAAGGATGGTGAGGGGCGCTCCGACACACCGATCAGCCTGGGCCTCTGGGCACAGGCGACATCCTGGGGGTTCCTCAGGCCAGAGGCGGCAGGCTTGGGCTCTTCCACCTGGCCCCACGGAGGGCCGAGAAGGGGCCTGGTGCCATGCCCCCCGTGCACCAGGCCTCACGTGGACTCCAGCGTGTTGAGTGGGAACAGGTTGTGGTTGGCGGGCGTGGAGAAGTAGAGCTGCTCACTGGGCGCGTGGTTGTCACATGGGCTGCTTAGCCCCAGCGTCCGCTCAAAGTCCAGCAGCTGCCCCATGAAGTTGAAGTTGGGCGAGATGTTGGACTTTTTCCTCTTGACAAAGTCGTAGGCGTCGTTGAGTGACAGGTTCATCTTCTGCATGAGATAGGCCACAGTGACCGTCACTGAGCGGCTGATGCCTGCCAGGCAGTGCACCAGGACGCCACATTTCTTGGAGCGGGCTTCGTCTGAAACACATCAGCATGGGTCAGGGAGGGGCCTCCTTCAAGGAACCTTCTCACATAGGTGGGCAGGTGGGGCACAGACAGCAGCATAGTCACTGGCTGGTCTTGCCTGACCCCCAAGGGACCTGGCCAAGCCCAGTGTGGGTAGGGCAGCAACTTGAAATAGAGGTCAGCAGCACTGCTGTGGAGGCTCTGCATACTTTAGCCCCAATGCACTAGATACCCAGTTTGTCTCAGTTTCCTCATCTATCAAAGGGGCCTATTTATGCACAGTGGTCTCCTAAGAACCTGAGGCAAGTGAGAGATCACCAAACATGAACTACTGTAACGCCTGTGATCACGGCTAGTCCTACCACCACCGCCATGTGCATTGCGACTGCTGCCATGGTGGCACCTGCATCCTCTTGAGTCATCTGCACCATAGCCAGTGAGCCCATTTTATCAACGAGAAAACAGACCCAGAGACAAAGTGACAAGCACAAGGCCACACAGAGGCTCCTCCTAGCTCAGCACCCGCTGCTGCCAGGCCTTGACCTGGGACTGAGGGCTGGGCTGGTTCTCCTGGAGCTGCTCCTGTGGGTTGTCCTTGAGAGTCTCCCAGGAAAGCGGCCTGAGGGAGGCTCCTCTGGAAGGAAGTAGGTGGCTTGGTCCTGCGCTTCACTCTGCCCTCTGCCCAGCTAGTCCCCACAGCCTTAACCCCAGCTCCTGAAGATACAGGGACTAGGACAATGGCCATGCTATCACTTGTGATGGAGCTTCATAAGTGAGGTGTGCTTAAATGGGGCCCACCCCTGCCTGCTTGCTAGACCTTCCATAGCAGGCCCATGTGCCAGTGACACCTCCTACCACAGCCAACTGAATGCAGACCCTTCCTCTCCCCTTCCCCTCCAACCCTCCTAGCCTCCCCCTCCAACTCCCCCAGCTCCCCCTCCAACCCTCCCAGCTCCCCCTCCAACCCTCCCAGCTCCCCCTCCAACCCCCCCAGCTCCCCCTCCAACCCTCCCAGCCTCCCTCTCCAACCCTCCCAGCTCCCCCTCCAACCCTTCCAGCCTCCCCCTCCAACCCTCCCAGTCTCCCCCTCCAACCCTTCCAGCTCCCCCTCCAACCCTCCCAGCCTCCCCCTCCAACCCTCCCAGCTCCCCCTCCAACCCTTCCAGCTTCCCCCAGTGCCACCCTCAGACTCCTTTGGCTGACACATAGTAGAAGCTCAATAAATACTGGCTGAGCTACTGAGCAACTCAGTCTTATAATCTCTCCTGGACCCTGGGGCAGCTGCCTCTCTGTGTGCCATAGCTGTGCCAGGGACATAGATTCACAAGAGGCAGCCATGGGGTCCTTGACCTCCCCACCACTCTGACTCTGAACCCTCCAGGAGCCAGGCACACAGCTAGCACTCAATCAATGCCTTCCTACAAGATGACACACAGGCTCACCCACTGTTCTTTGCCTTTGTCCTGACAGAGCCTCCTCTCCCCATCTCTGCCCAACCAGGGGTACCAAGAATTAAGCATACAGGAAGTGCTTCATCCAGACGCAGGGACTGACAGGGGGCCCCATGGCTAAGGCACTGGTAAGGGTCATCAGGGGAGGAGACAGATGTTGCAGCTTCACTTGGAGCTGTGTGGTCTGACCTTGAGATTGGGGGTGGGAGAAGGGGGTGCTGGGACAAGTTTCCAGTGGTAACACCAGGATGTGAGGAACGCCCAGCCTCCAAACCCACCTCCAGGTGATCCAGAGAGAGTCTGTTTCTGCTGGCTTTATTTTTGGCCTTTTCTGGGTGTGGCTGGTGACTGATCCTGTCCCACTGACTCCTAAGGGATTTCTGGGCCTCACTCCCTTCACTTGTCAAATGAGGAAAAAGGTCCATCTACCCAGATGGGGAGGGGCCTTCAGGGAGGATAAAGGTACCCACCAGCCAGGCTCAGCCTGGAGAAGCCTGCTTCCTTCTACTCCCCTCCCTCGTTGGGCGAGTTCAAATGCTGAGGCAGCACCCATAGCCCTCTTGGCCCCCAGGGAGGGGGGTGGGGGGGTGGGGGAGTGGAGGGTGGTAGGGCTGGGAAGCTCCAGGCAGCCCCTCCCCCAGGCCTCAGCTTCCTTCCTTCCTCCCAGCCAGGCACCTACTTTTGGTTCCCAGTAAGCGGATGAGGCGGGGAAGCCTCCCACTTCCTGTTGTTAAAGCTAGCCCAGCCCAACCGACACCAAAACGCCCTCCACTGGACATAGCCACCATCGGGAAAAGACAGCCCAGGCCACCCCCACACCTTGCCACTGGAGGCTGGGCAGAAACACTGGGTCACCAGGCTCAGAGACCTAGCATTTACATTCATCCTGAGCCCCCGTGCCCCTTCCTTGCACCCTGGGCCAGGGGAGATGAACTGCAGTCTCACAGCCTCCAGCTGGCCAAGGAGAAGGCAGTGGGGAACCCAAGTCAGCTGAGGCTGGGGACACAGGGACTCAAAGGGCTATAAGCCAGACAGCAGGACACACTGCTCTGGAGGAGGCCTTTCTCTACTCCCCACCTTCTCTTACACTCCTCCCTACACTCCAAGCGAGCCCTACAGGCTACAGAGAGCATCTGGAGCCTGACCAAGCTAGCGGTCACCGCATTTCAATGGCTGCCTGTTTGGGGTGTGCCTCTGGCTCCAGGGCTCCCTTTCAGCCCTCTTAGGTACACATTAAAGCCCAAAGAGTCACTGTGACAGACCCATTCTGGAGAGACACGTGTGCTGAGGTGTGATGCAGAGCAAGTGAGACCCGTGGGAGGTCTGTGCGCTGTGATGTTTCAGCTTGCTAAGCTCGAAACAACATCGACGCCAGGGAAACACAAGCTGGGCAGCAGAGAGCCCAAGAGGTGCTGCCAGCTGGGGGGAGCTCAGGTCTCAGGAGGCTGCTCAGGCCCCAACAGGTAGAGGGGCCCAAGGGACTCAGTGACTCACAGTAGGCATGGGTACACCCACGGGCACACGCTGGCACACGCAGGGCACACACAGGTCTCAACAGGCCCAGAGATACCCAGTCAGGTGGGGGCGCCACCCAGAGTCCTGCTACACCTTGATACACCCACCCACTCTGCCCAGCACACAACACCTACCAATGAAGCTGATGGCCTCAGGGAAGAACTGGGAGAGGTTCTGGCTCCAGTGGTCAGAGATGGGGATCTGCTTGTAGGTGAACTCGCCGCCGTGCTCGAAGGCGTTGGGCAGGTTGGGCGTGACATTGAGGATATACTTGATGCCGTACTTGCCGAGCACGTCCAGGTTGGTGGAGTCCTTGGCGCAGCCGAGGTAGAGGTAGGGCAGGATCTGGACAGGGAAGGCTGGTTGGCTGGATGGCACAGGGCTGCCGTCCGACTCGGTGGCACTGCTGGGCAGCTCTCGGTCCGACTCGCCGTCAGAGCAGTCAGAGCTGATGCGCAGGCCCCCCAGGCCCAGCACTGAGGTGGGTGGTGAGCTGCTCGGCGAGGAAGAGCTGTCCACATTGGTCTCGCAGTGCTCAGAGTACTCTGTCTGAAACTTGTTGAAACCACCTGTGGCCAGGGTTAGACAAGGCCTGGGTGAGAGACTGGTGAGAGCCCAGATGGGCTGCACAAGACCAGGGATGGGCAGGACTCCCCATACCAAGCACCACCACACCAATGGTCAGCATAGGCCATGCCAAGCATGTTACCCATGTGCTCTCTCTTGTGTTCTCTCCATCTAAACCATGACCACTTCACAGAAACTGAGGCCCCAGGAGGTGAAGTGATGTGCCTGGACTCCAAACCCGTACCCATAACACTTCAGGTCCCCCAGCCATGCCACCAGTTATAGGGCACTTGAGGACAGGCCCCAGTTAATTCCTCTTCTGCAGCTCCCACATACACATAGCACCCATGGGTGTTCAGTAACAGATAAGTGGTAAAGGAAAGCAGACAACCTCATCTTAGCCAGCACCTCTGGGTTGGCAAACTCCTCTTACAGATGATACCACAGGTGCCAGAGCCACATCTGGGTTAGCTAGAGGCAGAGAGGTCCTGGGCTTCCTGGAGGGGAGTCTAGTGGTTGCCCAGCCCCAAAACTACAGCTGGGGAGGGTAGTGGGAGGGTATTGGCTGGCCCCTTTCCCCAGCAGGGGTAGGTTCCTGAAGGGGGTCCTGGCCCCACTTCTCTAGAGCACTCCCTTAGAACACAAGGCCCCCCAGCTTTGGACCTGCAGCAGGGGAGGGCCACTGGGGCTATACAGGGACAGGAAAAATAGGGAGCGCCTTGGAGCGAGGCATGGGCCCTGCGCCCGAGGGTGCCGCAGGCCTCCCCTCCCCTCCTGCCCCGCTGCCAGCAAGAGGCCATTTTGGAATGTTAATTGGAAACACCGGCCTCAGCCACTCGCCCCCCGGTGCTGCCTCTCCCTTCGGCAAGCTCTGGGGCATCAGGCTGGGGACCTGGAGCTCCCGAGAGAGATCCGGGCCAGAGCCGTGGACCCTGCCCATACGCTGCCCCAAGCGCCTCCCAGAGGCGGCAATCCTCTGGTGTAAAGAGCAATTCTCAGATCCAGGAGACCCCAACCCATATGGTCTCCACGCGCTGGAGATGAGGATGGTGCTATGAAAGGTGCCCTTCTGATCCTGGCCTTCCAGAAACAAGAATTCCAGGCTGGACTTGGACGCCCTGCCGCTTTTAGGGTTCCGGGAGGTGGCGCCTCCCTCTTCTGAGGGGCTCCACTGGAGCCTGGGTGCTACTGTCGCCCCATCAACAGGAAAAAAAGGAAACCCCAGGCAGGGAAAAGTTTGTTCCACCCACTCGAATCGGGCCAAGAAAGGGGGCGCAGAGGGAGCCCCGCTCCTGCCAAACCCACACGGTGGGGACCGGGCTCCAGGAGGGCGGACGCGGGCTGGGGACGACGTGGCGCCCAACGGGGCAGGCCGAGCGAGTAGAGAGGAAAGAGCCTCCAAGGGGGGCGTCAGGGAGTCGTAGGGGGCCCCCGCTCCCGTAAGGAGTCTCGGTGCTGCCCTCACCTTGGAGGTAGTAGGCCTGGCAGCCGTCGTCGCGCAGCTTCTGCAGGAGCAGGCCAAGCACCGAGGCGGGAGCGCCGGGCTCGGGCTGCCACTCGGCCGTGGCCTCGTCGTAGAGCAGCACGGTGGCCGCCTTGCAGCGCGTGGCGAAGCGCTCCTTGTCGGCGTGGTTGGGGATGATGGAGCGGATGGGCAGGTTGCCCTTGCGCAAACGGCGCAACATGAGGCCCGGGATGGCCAGGTTGATGGCCGTCTCGATGTGCGACGACTCGAAGAGCTCGTGCGGCCGGCAGTCCAGCAGCAGCAGGGACGCGCCGCCGCGCGCCTCCAGCTCCTCCTGCAGCCACTCGGCGCTCTTGCAGGGCATGGCCCCTGCTCCCGTCGCCGCGCCCGCCCCGGTGCCTGCGCTGGACCCCGACCCCGCACCGGGCTCGGACCCCGCCCGGGTGCCCCCAGCCGCCGCCGCCCCCGAAGTCGACATGTGCGCCCGCGCTGTGGGGCCGCGGAGCTGGTTTTTCATGGGGAGCGCGGGCGGCCCGGGGCCGGGGCCGGGCAGCCCTGCCCTGGGACGGCGCCCCGGCCGCGCGGGCCCCAGCCGCGTCTCCGGGCGCCCGCCTCCCGCCGAGCTGCACGCCCGCTGCCCCGGCCTGCCGGCCTCCGTCCCGCCCGCCCGGCCCTCCGCGCGCACCGCGGCCTGACAGCCCCAATTAAACAGCGGCTCCGGCGGCCGCGCGCCGAGGCGTTCTCCGAGGGGCGGGGCTGCGGGGCCGGCGCCCGGACTTAAAGGCGCAGCGCCTCCACCGCCCCTCCCCACAGGGTACGCTGGCGCACTTGTGGCCAGTGCGCCCGGAGACCCGCGGCGGGGCCCTCCTCTACAGCTTCTCCGTACCGTCGCTCCCTGGACTAGCCCAGAGCTGACTGCAGTTCGCCTAGGGGGCCCGGCCCAGACGCCCTCACGGGTTCATTCTGCGCGTGCTCCCAAGCTCTTCTGGGCACTACGGGAAGAGCGGCCCTGGGGGTGTCCTATGACTGGCACCCCCACCCTACATCACAGGAGCAGAGTTACCCCGGGACGGGGCGTGATGGTGGGGCTGTCCAGCTGAGCAACTTCTCCTTCTTCCGCCTGTCATCCCCATTCATTCATTCTGTCATCGAGTTCATTCAACAAATGGGAATTGAACGCCTACTACGTGCCACGCACTGTGCTAGGCGGTCTCTGTTTCAGGCGACCTCATCGTCCCCCTGACGGTCACAGGTTCCAGACCTGGGGGAAGCGTCTCACCCCAGCAGGCCTGACGGGAAATCAGGACCTGGGCGACTGGCGGGGTAGGAAAACTCAGGGCCGTGTCACCTTCCGTGGGCAGGGGTGGAGAAATCCTGTTAAGGACCAGCTCTTGGAAGGGAACACGAGCCCTTTAAGAAAGCTTTACAAGCAGGGTGGTGACAGGCGCCCAGCGAAGCGCCACGTGACTTTTCCACGGGTCGGGTGGGAGGGGGATGCTGCTTTATAATCAGCTTTCCTTCCCCTGCCTCCCTCTCAATAGACCAATCAATTTCCGCGGTAGGCGGGCACCTGCCACGCAGATAGCCAATCCTGGCCGAAAGAGGCGGTGGCGGAGGGAGGCAGGGCCCGCCGGGGGTTCCACCCAGCGCGGGGAAGTGGGCGGGGCCTCCGCCAGCCGTGTGTCGACTAGCTGGCAGGCGGGGCAGCGGAGGTGAATGGACCCGCAGGTAGCGCTAGAACAAAGCGTCTCGACGCAGGCGGCGCGCTTGCGCGGGACCTGCCGTGCTTTCCCTGCAGAGCCAGGGTGAGAGCTCGAGACTGGGCCCCGCCGTCCATCTGGTCCATTCCTTTGCCTAGCGGGGTGCCCCTCCCTCCTTGGGGCTTAGCCCCGCCTACTCCGCCCGAGGCTGGTCGGCTCTGAGACACTTTTCCCCCATCCCTGGCTGTGGGGGAGCTGTGGGGCTTGAGGGAGGGCCTCTGGAACCCCGAGGATTTGAGCTTTCCGGTAACCTCCGACCAGAAAGCACGTAAAGCGGTGGTTCAGAAGCAGCCCTCGCCCCAGTCTTTCAAGCAAGGGATAGTCTTCCTGAAGGGTTTCATCCTGGACCACAGGGCTGTGTCCCAAAGGAGCAGGGGTCTCTCCCACAGTGACACTCTCAGGCCACAGCAGTGCAGCCAGAGGTGGTCTTAGCAGTGTTTGGGTGCTCACAGAGATGAAAGGAGAAGCAGCTCTCCGCCCAGGGTTGTCCTGGGAGTACTGGGCCTATGGAAAGAGCTCCCAGGGCCCAAGAGGCCAAGACCCAGATTCTGTCCTGCCACTTGCAGATGTGACATGTGACCTGAGTACAGTTCTTTCCTCTGGGCCTCGAATCCATCCGGCTGGGAGGATGTGATCTGAGGCCAGGGCCCTTGGCTGGCAGGCTGGATGCTGCATGTGAGGGAGGGAGGCAGCACTTAGAAAAGAGGCCTGAGCAAACTCCCAGGGGAGAGTGAGCTGCTGAGCAGTGCTCCATTCACTCAGCAAGCCTTGTCGAGGGCCTCCTGAGCACCAGACTGCCTGGAGCTGGAGCAACAACAGTGGAACCGCCGTCTCCCACTCAGGCCTGCTGTCTCTCCACTCTGCTCCACCACGGGGTTGGCTGCCGGTCTGAGTGCTCCCCCAGGTCCACCACAAGATGAGCAGGGACCTCTCTTTCTCTAGGGGAGAGACTGGTCATGGACCCTCCCCAGATGGGTCCATGGTAGCTCAAGAAGGTGTCAAATGCCCAATAAGGGTGACATCCCTGTGGGGCGGGCCAGAATCACATTAACAGGAGGCTTACGCTGTCCTCAAATGAGACTGGGTGTGTGTCCCATGATGCTGAGGCATACTCACTTCTGAGCGCCTGGTGAGGAATGGGCCATTGCTCTCACTAGCGAGGGAACAGCTGAAATGGGAACCTCCTCTAAACCACCCCCCTCCCCAGCCTCTACTGCCCAAGCATGAGGAAGAACTACCCTAGAGAGAGGAAAGGGGCCCTGCTATCCCTCACATTAGCCTGCAGTGACTCCTGTCTCTCTCCCTCTAGACTCCTCTAGCGGGGCACACATCCTGAAGGAAAGATCTGTGAGAATATGTGGAATTGGAAAAGCTCCCGCAGCAGGAGGAGAGGGCGTCCTCCAACAGGGAGATAAAGAGAGGCAGATTTGGATGAGTGCAGAACAGGGAGAACGAGGGGAGGGAGTGACAGGAAGCAAAGGGTTGGCAGGAAAATTAGCCAGGGCCCGTGAGGTGCCAGTGGGACCCTGGGCCCCCACCAGGCGGGTTGGTTGGAGGAAAGGCCCTAAGCCTTGGTTCTCACTGGAGGGAAGAACCCTCAATCTTAGACTTAAAAGGCCCACAGCAGGGCAGGAATCCACCTGTGGTCACTTCTGGCAAGAGACCAGAGCTGTCCCTGTCCGGGGCCTTGCCCGGCAGCTATAGGCTTCCCTCAAGGGAGAGGGTCTTTCCTGGCAGGAACCTGGTGCCCTGGGTGATTCCAAGGCAAGGCCTTGGAATCATGCTTCCTCTTTAGAAATATGGTCTTTCCTGCCTTTGGGGTTCAGGCCTTCCCTCACCTGCAGCCCCCAGGAGGGGTGCCCAGCTCACTAGGGTCTCCCTGAGGGGCAGAGTGGGGGAGTGGGAAAGAGGCTGCCAGAAAAGGTCTGTCCCTGGGGATGAGCTGGTTTCAGGAGGGGAAGGGGAAGTGCAGGTGGGACACAGTTGAACCCTCAGGGCTATCCCTCATTCCCACACAGCCCAGGCCTTTGCACAGGTGTCCTCCCTGCCTGGACAGTTATCACAGTCAGCCTTTGCCTGCCTTCTGATCCCAGCTCAGAGTCGCTGAGCACAGAGGCCTCCTCTGATCATCCAGGCCCAGATTAGCTTCCCTGCTGCATGCTCCAAGGACCCCTGTCCCCTCCTCAGCCCATCTTTGCTCCTATCAGTCACTGTCCACCCGCCGTCATCCACCACCACACCACACTTGTCACCTGGAACACCCAGGGGTGAGTCTGCCCTCCCTCAGGCCTGCTTCTCCTCCTGCCATCCCTTCTCATCGCGTTTAGCCAGCTTCCAGGCCCGAACCCACAAGGCACGTCTGGAGCTGCCTTCCCTGTCTGCACACATCCAACCCCAGAACCACACAGAGAAGGGGCCTTCCTGGCAGCGCAAGGCCTCGCCATGGTAGGATGTTTCATGGCTCTTTGCTGTTCCTCTGGGAGTAGCTGAGGGTCCCTAAGAGCAGATGTGAGCTAGTGTGCACCCCCTCCCCCCAAAACACATATTCATGTGGCTGGGTGACCAAGGAGCTGTGTCATCAGGAACAGTCCAAATGCCTAAGAAATAGATTTTCCTTTTCCCACTGGTGTCCATGGATTTCTTAGAGATGGGCCACCATGGTTCTAATGGACAGGCCGAGGTGAGGGTAGGGTCAGCTCCTTGCCCTCCTGGTCCTAAGGAGGTGGCTTTCTGCTATGGGTCTGTCCCACATCCCACTGTAAGGAATGTGCAGGATCTGAGCAAGGGCCAGGCACTCCAGTCTGTGGTGCCTGCTGCTGGAGACCAAGCCAGCCTCTGCGCAGAGCACCTCCACGAGGCTGGAGAGGTGCCCCAATGGAGGCCTGCTGTGACCTAGACTTGCTCTGCTCGCCCTTGAACTTGAGGCTGGAGAGGTGCTCCAGTGGAGGCCTGCTGAGACCTAGACTTGCTCCGCTCGCCCTTGAACTTGAGGCTGGAGAGGTGCTCCAGTGGAGGCCTGCTGAGACCTAGACTTGCTCTGCTCGCCCTTGAGCTTCTTCCCCAACCCTTAGTGGGGTGCCCGCCTGGGCTGGGGGTTCAGACAGCAACATCTAAACCAGGCCAGGAGAAGACCGTGAAGGGCTGGCAACTCCTCTGCCCTGTACAGAGCTCCTGGCTGCACACATACACATATACATGTAAGGATACACACAGCACAGGCACAACACACATAGACCTACCCATATAACCACATATGCTCATGGGCACATAAGTGCATCTACAGAAATACAGAGATACGGACCTATGCATGTGTGCAGAAATACGAAATACACATGCACACATACTCTTGTATGTACACACACACACACACACACACACACACACACACCCAGACCCACGTCTGGGGTCTCACCACTCCTCTTGGAGGGATGCCCACAGACATGTCCTCCAGAGGGGTGGTTACCAGGCTGGCGGGGTCCACACTCCTCTCCCCTCAGCGCTCTAGTCACTTAGGCTCACATTGCCCTAGGCCGCTGCTGGTATTTCTGTAGCAACAGGTTCTGGATGGAAGAGGAGTCCATCCCTGCCTCTCCAGCATGGGCCTGCCAGGCCCTGGGTGATGGCAGTGTAGTGTGGGAAAGCTGGGACAGCTCTAGGGTGGGGGAGCCACGTGCCTATTCATCTGCCCCCTCTCCTGCCCAGGTGTGCAGGACAGACCTGGTGAGAGTGCAGGGCCTGGAGGAGCAAGTAGCCCTGGCAGAAAAGAATGTCACGCCCAGGATGATCAGAGCACAAGACATGGCAGGAAGGAAGCAAGGGTCTGGGAGCTCTGTGGGGAATCCTCAAGGCTGCTTGGAGAAGGCAAAGTGGGGAGAGAGGAGAGAGCCCAACCAAGAAGGGAGCCTCCCACTCCTTGTTCATTCTCATTTTCTCAGCACCTGCCCC